ACCACATCTGGCCTAGCTTATAATTTTCATATTGTTTTTATTGGTTTTATTCAAGGAGTAGGGAAGCATCTGCCTCTTATATTTCTCAGGCCTCTTCCCTTGCTTTTCACGATTGTCTAGTACACTTGATCACACTTCACAGGCTACTTTTCAAGTGTGGCACAGTTTCCCCACTCTACATTTGAGAGTCCAGACAAATCCTTGCTCTACCAGGTGCTGTTTTCCCTGCTGCTTCTGCCTTTAAAATATCCATCTTATCAACAGCTCCGGACGTCTTAGCTCCTACTTTCTGATCCTTCTCATATTGTGACCCCACTTCCCAGACTCGGTAGGAGGGTAACTCATCAATGTTCAGAGTGGCTTTTTTAACACAACTGTATTTAAAGGATCTGGAGGTGAGGCGGGGCGCCATCATGGTGGAGAATCCTTACTTTTCGTTATCAGGTAAAGTATAGAAAGTCACTCCTGAACTTCATACCTTGTGACCTTCGCCCTCATAAGTGAGGTTATTGTAATTTTTTAATGAGCAGAAGATTCTGAGGATATTTTTAGGTCTGATTAAGTTGGGTGAGCCTTTCTCAATTTTTTTTTTTTAGTTTAGTTTTTTTTTTTTTTTTTTTTTTTTTTTTTTTTTTTTTTTTTTTTTTTTTTTGAGACGGAATTTTACTCTGTCATTCACACTGGAGTGCAGTGGCGAGATCTCGGCTCACTGCAATCTCTGCCTCCCACATTCAAGCGATTCTCTTGCCTCAGCCTCCTGAGTAGCTGGGACTACAGGTATGTGCCACCATGCCCAGCTAATTTTTTGTATTTCTTAGTAGAGATGGGGTTTCACCATGTTGGCCGAGATGGTCTCGATCTCTTGACCTCGTGATCCACCCGCCTCAGCTTCCCAAAGTGCTGGGATTACAGGCCTGAGCCACCACACCCGGCCTTCATTTTCATTTCTAAAAATTACTTATTTTTTGGCCAGGCGCAGTGGCTCATGCCTGTAATCCCAGCACTTTGGGAGGCTGAGGTAGGCAGATCATGAGGTGAGGAGACTGAGACCATCCTGGCTAACACAGTGAAACCTGTCTCTACTAAAAATACAAAAAATTAGCCAGGGGCATGGTGGCACATGCCTGTAGTCCCAGCTACTCAGGAGACTGAGGGAGGAGAATTGCTTGAAACCAGGAGGTGGAGGTTGCAGTGAGCCAAGATCACACCACTGCACTCCAGCCTGGATGACAGAGCGAGACTCCGTCTCAAAAAAAAAAATTATTTATTTTTATATTTTGGAAGCAGGGTCTTGCTCTGTCACACAGGCTGGAATGCAGGTGCATGATTATAACTCAACTGTAGACTGGAACTCTTGGTCTCAAGCAATCCTTCCACCTCCAGCTTCCCAAATAGCTGGGGCTGCAGGTGTGAACCACTGCCCCTGGCTAAGTTTTCTTATTTTTATTGTTTTAGAGATGGAGGGGGTCTCACTGTTACCCAGGATGGTCTCGAACTCCTGGCCTCAAGTGGGATCCTCCAGCCTCAGCTTCCCAAGTCGCTGGGATTATAGGCCTGAGCCACTGTTCTCAGTGGGTGAGTCTTTTAAGAGGATCCCTCATTTTGTGTTGTCCAGAAATCAATTTGAAGTATTAGAAATACCATGGGTATTTATTACTGAGAGGACTGTTAGGATTTGAATTGAGAATTCCAAGTTGAAAATAAGTGATTGAACTGTAACTAAAACATTCCCTCACCAACTCATTTCAAACTCCCAATATGTAATATACAACCCCAATTCAATAAGCTAACATATTCTTGAAGCTGACAAAAAGCAGAGATGGCCATCTCTTATAATCAGCGGTTAGCTAGCCCATTCTATAGAGGACTGGATAGTAAAGATCTTAGGCATTGAAGACCATACATTATAAATTGTTGCAGCTGCTCAACTTCTCCATCTCTGGAAAACAGCCAGAACAAAGTATAAATAAATAACTGTGGCTGTACTCCAATAATTCATTTATGGATACTAAAATTTAAATTGTATATAATTTTTATGCAGAAAGAATTTCTCTCGTTTTTTCAACCTTTAAAATTATAAAAGTGGGGACCACAGTTGTTTACCACACCCTGCTATAGATTTTCAAGTGGAAAGGTCATAACTACCATTATTAAATAGCCAACATAAAAACAAAAGTATGACTGGTGTCATTTTAAGGAAGAAATTAGAGAATTTTAAGTGACTAAACTGGAAATACAAAAACAGCTAGACAGCACCTGGGGTATAAACTGTCTCCACCTTGGGCCATACCAGCCTCTCACATCCTTGTTAAGATGAGCCTGGTGTTCTTGTCACTCTCTCCTCCCCAGGTACACCCCCACCATGGAGTCCCTTCTTCTACTATCTGGAATGCCAATGGCAGGATCCAGCAGCTTATCTTTTCTCTCCCCATCCCCTCCTTCTTCTCCTTCCCTTTCCCTCCCCCTTTCCTCTCTCTTTTCTTTCTTTCTTTCGGGGTTGTGCTCTGCCACCCAGGCTGGAGTGCAGCAGCACAGTCATAGCTCACTGCAGCCTTGAACTCCTGGACTCAAACAATGCTCCTGCCTCAGCCTCCCCAGTAGCTGGAACTGCAGGTGCATGCCACTGCACCTGGCTAATTTAAAAAACTTTTTCGGGGAGAGATAGGATGTCACTTTGTTGTCCAGGCTGATCTCAAACTCCTGGCCTGAAGTGATCCTCCCACCTCAGCCTCCCAAAATGCTGGGATTACTGGCATGAGCAACCATGCCCAGCTACTTATCTGATCCCATGTGCTACTTCCTCCATGAGAGAAACACACATCCTCCAACTACACAACTGAGCAATGCTCATCTCCAGTGAAGGAGACGCTTTATTCTTTTCTTTTTAGGCCTTACACTCTGTCTAGATGGTTCCATAGCAACACAGGAAATAGCTAAGAGATGGTTCTCGGTGACCAAATCCAACTAGCTCAGCTAAGTGCACCAAAGATGGATGTATTTTTGAAAAGATGAATTATATCAAGTTCAACTTATTAGAACCCATGCTTATAATATAAATTTCAAAAACAGATGACATGTAACACGTAAAAGCATGTTAATAATTCCATTGATAAACTATACAGTAGATCTCCAATCTTTTTAAGTTAGGGGCTTTGGTGGCTTTTTTTTTTTTTGTTTAATTTCTGTCAGACTTTGGTCAGTGGACATATGCAAATACAGTTTTGTCTCCGTGGGACAACCACAATGAATCAGAAGTTGAGGTTTGGTGTCAATCCAGGCAGTAGGCTTTTTCTTAAAAGGAGCCCTTTCAGAAAAACCTAGAGCAACCTGGGGCCACAGTTAGTGCATCAGTATTTCTAGATTTAACAAGCCCGAACTATTCACTCTCTTCTGAAAGGGCTACTTGATCCTGGAAGGATCCACATAGACAGCATTGATTTAACAGTTGAACGAAAAATGCCGGGTCCAGTTCGGTCTAGTTTTCCCATGTAGGCTTTACCTGTACACCTCATTTATAGGGTCCTGTAGTTTTCCGTGTATGTTCCTGTGTGTGTGTATTTGTGTGTGTGTGTGTTGCAGATTTCTTAATACATTCTAGTACTTGCTTGGCAGCTATTCTAGGCTCCAGTGAAACTGAAACAGTAGAGGCAGAATAGTCCGAGATCTCCAAGTATTCAGAACCTGGTAGAGGAGAAGGGCATCTAAAGAAAACCTTTATGGTGTATTGTGATAGGTGATGTAACAGAAATAGGAAGTGAATGATTTGGGAGTGCCTAAGAAAGTAACACTAACTCTGTCTGAGGATGTGGCAGCATTTAGTTGGGATAAGAATATCCTTTCCACTGTAAAATAGTGAAAAGCGCTGGATTGAGAGCCATGCATGTTTTTACTGACTTTGAGTAATGTTACTACCTTGAGCCTCAGTTTTCTCATCTGTAAAGTGGGTTCAGCAATACTCACTTTGTAGCTTCCTGCATGGGGAACAGCAGAGATCTCCCTTCCCTATCTTAGGCTCTTTTCACCAGAGGCCATGTGTGACCAAGAAGCACAATGTAGATTGCTGGGTGTAAGGGGCAGAAGAGAGATCAGTTTTTGTGGGGTTGTGTGGGGACAAGCCTCCCATTCTGAATGCGAGCCAGGAAAACAGCACACCTGGGTCAACCATTGTCCCACTCCCCCGGGAGCTCATTTGGACAATGGGATAGTGTATCTTTTCCCAGCACAGCCTTTGCATATTTTACTGCCCTTACAAGTTGACTAAGGGACCTGGTCAAATTACATACTTCTTCAGACAGCTTTTCTCTGTGAATTTTAGCTTTAGGACCAACGTGCTGATTTCTCAGGCCTTACCCCAATTCTTAAGTCCTGTAAACTTTACGCTATTAAGGTATCTAGGATTTTCCCCCAAGGACAAGGAAAAAGTACATATATCTGTGAATAATAGGTACTTAATACCTAATATCTGGGGGTAATAGAGTACATTATCTTTCAATAAAATTTTGTGTATATTCTTGGACATTGTGTTTTAAAATAGCCTTAAGCCACCTAAGTGATGCACAGTCCAGGGGGTGGCGGTGACGGGGCACCCCTCACCATGTTATGTTGAAACAAAGCATAACTGATTGCCCTTAAGAATTCTTTGTGACTTTCAGCCTTCAAATCAAATCAAACTGGGTAAAGCTTTCATACTTTCTTTTTAGTCTGCTGGTGGTGATATGTCCAGTGGCAATCAATTCATGCCTTTTGATATTTTGATGGCAAAGTCTTATGGAGGAGACCAGTGTTAACTAGCTTGCCAGATGTCACAGCAGGCAAAACAAGATTGAAACCCTCACCTGTCTGACCAGCCCCGCTGGTGGGATGGTAAGGTTTCCCGACAAAGATTTACCAACTGGAAAATTCATTGAGAACACCAGTTTCCTGACATAGAGCACTGGCCTGGTTGTTATGGCAAGGTGATGGATGGAGCGCCAAAGCTTGTGTTCCTTTGTTTCTTCCAGGAGAGAAACCCTACAAGTGTACCTGGGAGGGCTGCACCTGGAAGTTCGCCCGTTCGGATGAACTGACGAGGCATTACCGCAAACACACGGGAGTGAAGCCATTCAAGTGCGCGGACTGTGATCGCAGCTTTTCCCGGTCAGATCATCTGGCTCTGCACCGCCGGAGGCATATGCTGGTGTGAGGAATGCTACCTGTCCAGCTGAGCGTAAGAGCTGGATCTCTTAGCGGCACCCAATTCAGCAGGGCTGAACCCCCTTCACAGTGTTAACACAAAAGGGCATCACCATCCCACGATGTCTGAAACCAGAGCAGGAAAAAGAAGGCACACTTCTTTTGGTCTGAAGGTAACCCCCATCATGACTTCACGAGAACCGTCTTTACGTGGGCCTGGGAGCTCAGTGACGCAAATGCTGAAGAGACAGACATTGTTTTCCATGCTGTGTCCTCTGCCATTTAAAGATGTTTGTAGCTTGTACATTTTCTGAGCTGTCAGACATTTTGTTATTGATACCTTAAAGGTCACCTACCACAAATTGATGGCTAGAGCAAGACCTTTTAAATTTGGATGAATCTCCCATCATCCCACCCCTTAACCCCTTTTTACAGAAATTTAAGTTACAATCTGAGTAAGCTAGAACACACATCCAATCTGTTACCAGCAAGCAGCATGAAAGTAGAAATGAAGAAGCAGATGGAGAGGTCCCATTACCTGCAAAGAAAGGGCACTCAGGCAGCCCTTTGCAATCGCGATGGCGGCCACTAGATACCACTCGCAACTTGTCATTCTGCCATGCCCTGAAGAAAACCAACATTGAATCTTTCATTTGTTTGTCGTTGATTGTTTTTGTTTTGTTTTGATTCTGTTTTGTTCATCTGTTCGAGCAGAGGGGCAGTTGAAGTCTCGTCCTGGTCTCTGCCCTGGCATGGACTGGCACAGAGGTGTTCTGTAGTTGAATAGGAAGAGCCTGTCTAAAAAAACTACTGCCCCACTTCAAATTGCAGTGTTCTGTCACCTAGGCATCATCTCTTCCTGCCCCTAGTATTTGATTACAAGGAACCAGGGGAAAAAAACTTTCTTAGACACACTGGCACCAAGGTAAGAGGTGGGGCTGCCCAGGCAAAGTCAGTGAACATGAAAAATCAGACAAAGCAGAGATGGAAATAATGCGCCTCTTGAGGAGAAAAGCAATAATGAATAAAAGGACTTTCCTACAATAACTTCACTGAGGACTCACGTTACCAATTTTCATACTTACTAAAGGGATTGTAAAAAACACCCTAGCATTTTAGGTGTCTTGGTTCCATTTACAGCACTGAGGTAATCTTTCTGCTGTTTGTTGTCCTGCTTGGTTGAGTACCACAATTAAAGATTATGCTCCCCTTTTCTTGTTTGAAAACAGTTATTTGGTGACTAGAAAGGCAAGGGAGGCATAGCTGGGAATTAACTCTTTGGTTAATGGGTCAGTTCTCCTTGGAACTGAATCAGTGGAAAGAGAATGCTTCCCATAGAAAGCCTGACATGGTGCTAGCTTCCTCTCTTGGAGAGCCAAGGATAAGTGACTCTCCAATAGGTTCTTCTGTACAGATTTCATTTTCTAAACTGTATCAGGACCCACGGTCCTGCACTGGCATCTGCAGGGATATTGAACCCACTCATCCTGTGCGGAGGATGAGAGGAAGGTGTTAGTTCCATCAACCCCCTAAAATTATGAACCTTTTTGCAACTAGCAAAGTATACAGTAAACAAGCAATACATCACCAACAAGCATTCTTTCAGAAAAATTACCATATTTTTGTGCCCACTACAAGCTGGGTTTTTTCCAGCTTTCTGTGGCTGAGGGGCTTGGTGAGATTTTTTTGTTGTTGTTATTGTTGTTGTTGTTGTTGTTAGAATTTTTTATAGCTTAGATATAAAAGGTCTCCACCAAAGACCTTTGCAATATATTTTAATTACAAACACTTGATTTGGGGGATTGCACATATTAACCTCACAATATTACTAGCTCATTTTTAAATGTCTGGACATTCTGAAGTAATTTCCGGTTGCAGAATTATCCTTTTTAGGATCATCTTCTAATTCAGATAATCTTGTTCTGATGAAGCGAGAACGATGAACATTGAAACAAGGACAATTTGTGTTGGATGGTATTCAAAGGCATTTTTTAAAACGTTAAGCAACAGTATAATGATTTTCAGGTCAAATTATGGCTTCAAAAATATGTGCTCTATATTGTCTGCCAGAGCTCAAAAATTTATCAGGCAATTTCCCTCCAACAAGGGCTGCAGTTCTAGTGATAAATAGCATCTTCAGCTACACAGTCTACAACTCACCAGCCAGTAGGGTTTTTACCACCTGGAAAGCTTTTTTTTTTTTATCTGTGCTGTATGCAACTCCTACTTCACATTACCTGTGACCATTTGGAATTTAAAAAAAGGTCTCTTGTTGCATGCCAGCGTTGGTTACTAGTCAGTGGCAGAGAACACAGACAGGGACACACACAGCCATGAGCCCCCTGGTGCTAGACCAGCACCTCGTTGGCAAGTAGTCGGGGTGCATCCCTCAAGTGAAGTGTAGATTTGAATTTAGTCTTGCTTGCTCTCATAAAAAGAGCCAGTTCTTTTCTCTGCTGAAAGATGTCTTAAGAGTATTACAGGTAGACTTGGTTTTTAGAATTCATAAAACTGACAGGCAGAGGAAGCTTCCTGAGTGACAGCTTGGTTTAAATTTAGCACAGAACTAAATGAGTTGCACTTTTCTAATAACATAGGATGGATTTGGGGAAGGGAGCATTTTTCCTCATCCTCTGAAAATGGAAACCAGACTGAGATGGTAAGTTAACTGATAAAACCTGTCAGCATTCCATCATTTTCCCCTTTTGACATATCAGTACTTCTAAGAAGGGATCTAAGCACAAGTAAGTGAGTGAGTCCCTGGCCTAGCCTCAGGAACTGAAACTTCCTTGGGGCTTGTCTTAGGACATGGCAAATTCTCCTTGGTGAGTTTTCTACAAGTATTTCCCCATGGAAAGGAAAAAGTGGTTTGGGACAGAAAGAAATGGAATGTCTTCAGTCATGAAAAAGCCTCCATTTCATCTCATGTCCATTACTAGCCTCTTTCAAAAAGCACAGTGCATCATGAGCAACAGAAAAGCAGTAGAATCCTAAAGAACTTCTCAGTTGTTCCCTAACTAGAGGCATTCTTTGATTTTAAATTTTAAGCTGTTCAATTTGCAGCTGGGGATATGTGCATGGTTGAGAATGTGTACACATAGAGCGGTTAACCCCTTAAGCAGCTGCAGTAGACCTGATTTTCTGTTTGCAGTATAGAGATTGATTTCAGGGGATTTACATTATTTGAAAAGTTATGATGGTCAGCCTTTAAGGTTTTAAGAATCTCTTTTCATGCTCTGATCTTAAGTTGTTTGGAAAAAGATTCACACTTCTGCATCCACCTCTGCCCTCATCCTGTCAGTTGTGTGTGGACTCTGAGAAGCCTGCTTGATAACTTGCCTTAAGTTCTATTAAGGCAGTTAGACTGAGATTTCTAATGACTTTCCCATGAAGGTTATACTTCTGCCTGGCATCATTTCTACAAAACACTATAGGACACTGGTTTTCAAAAGCAGTTGAGTAACAGCAACATACACAACATTAAAAAAAAAATGAGCACTTTTCATTCACTTGAAAGCTTAAATGGGAAATAGGAAGATGATTGTCAGGGGAAAAACTTACAAAATGCTACAGTGTTTACAAATGCCAGTTCCAGGTGATTAGAAAGGCCATTTTCATTATGGTTGGAATTTTGAATAGCTTATGTAAAGATTGTGTTCATTTTTATACAATTCTTTTTGACTTTAAATTGCCATTTGTGTTTTAAACATAATTCTGCACTTTGAAATCAGTTCATTAGAATGATAACATTTATATGGATAAAGATGCAGTATTCCTTATTCTGTACTTTATTTATTATACTTACCAAAGCTGCAACTGAATAAAGCTGGTGAGGTGAGGCCTTCAAATGTATTAATACGCCTTTGTTATGTTGTTATGACTGCTTAGAAATGTAGCCATGATATTGTTCTAAAGGTGTCTTGACATTTATAGTGAGGATCGACAGAAATGAAGCAGTATTAAGAATACCAGCATCCATGTTACAGTCTGCGTATAAGACTGAATGTGAGATAACTCTTCCGAATCAGAATAGGCCCAGAAAGCCTTAATATTCATAGTTCATAAGCCAGTCTCAGATTTCGCTCTTCAGTGATGCCTGTCGACTTAGCAGGTAAATGTATTCTAGAATAAAACATCATTAACCAAATCTCTTCCTTTAGTTTTTCTGAGATAGTGCATCCCATAAAAAAGTCTCTTCAATTTGATTTGGCTTTAGTTTAGAAAAGGGGTTTGGTAAGTCACGTCTTCCATATGACATTTCTACTCATTCCCACACTGCCTTCCACTGAACCTGTACAGACAGCCCCCACACATGCACATGTGTATACACAACTGTATATGCAGCAGCCAGTGGGCTAACAAATATCAACAAAGAACTTTTTTAAGAATTTGTAATAATCCATGCTGTCTAGAAATGTGAGTTACATACCTTATTAGGAAATCGGCTTATAGTACTATATATGACTCTGCCTGCATTTTATAGTTAATAAATGTACATAAAAATTACTATATTTTCACAGTTTCATTATAGAATAATGTCTGTTTAGTAATCCATGTCCATTGGTACTTTAAATATGCTAATTACTGAGCAATTGCAATAGAAATCCAGATTTTCTTAAGAAAATGAAATAGAAGGATACTGCATCTTTAAAAATAGAGTGAAGATATTTTACTGTATTCGTAACATATGTGATAGTGGAAAAAGTATTTTCAAACTCACAGATTTTACAGAGGTTGTAAATAGTTTGATGAAGTATGTTGGGAAAAAGAGCTTCTAGTTTTCATCACAATGAAAAGTAAAAACTTGTTCAGATATGCCTTGTATATCTTACACACAATGAGCAATATTGCCATGGGAACTCTGTCCAACTTTGTCAGAGCACGTTCTTCATGTTCTGTTCAAAATTGTGGCCACTTGTCACTGTTTAGCCAGGATGGTTTAAAATATAATGAAGTCATTTTAAGTTGCAGACAACTGATTCCAAACTAGTAATATCTTTTTCTGAAAAGGGCAAAACAGCTGCACAGCATTTTGCTTGTATGAAAGAGGAGCATCTTACAATTGTTCTCTTTTCTCAGTATCTCCCTCCTCAGCAGAGTGGTTCTTGATGAAACAACTATACAGGTGTTTATTCTTGTGTAATTCCAGAGATATAGGTGTAACTACATGTTGACAAGATTAAGTGTTGTGGATATGGCCACATGCTAAATGAATTTATACTGGCAATAGGAATAAGCTAATGCCCATTTTCAGAAATAAATTAAATGCTGAAAGTGCCTGTCAGTAAACATTATGACCAATGAGATCTTCCTATACTTTTACACAGCAATAACTCTTAATTAGACATTAGGGCTTTTTTCTGCACATGAGAAAACACACACACACAAACACAAACACACACACACACGGAGTAAATGCATGGACATAGTAAATCAAATCTGTTCACATGCCCGCCAAACAAGCTTTTATATATTTCAAATGTACCTAATCATGTTTACATTAACATTTCTTAATTTGATCTTTCTAATTTCCAGATAAAGAGTTGACTGTCATTTGCCCCAATCTTATGAAACAGTATGTATGATTTTAAAAGTTTTGCTCAGTTAAAAACACCAATTTATTTAGAGCAAAAGACTGAAGGATATTTGTTTGCTTGTTTCATTTTATCCACTCATATCAAACGCACAAATTCATCTTTACATTTCTTCATTCCCTTTTCACCTAATATTACCTAAGGCTCATTTGGGAATGAATATTGACAGAATCATTTTTCTCCAAAAAGTCTATTGAAGTACTGCTGACACTTAGTAAGCCTAGCCTTTAACCTATTTTGCATTTAGTCCTAAAAATTACCAGATTTACATTTAGAAGCTCACAGGTTTTTTTCCTGTAATTTTTGTACTGTTAAAAGTGGAGTCATGAATAGAAATATGCAATGAGACTCTGTGAATAGACATGAACCCTGGGAATTCTCCAACCCTGCCATCTCAGAGCACAGATTCACCCAAACAAGCTACTGAGGCTATCAGCAAAAATTATACTCATGGAGAGGCACACATTGGGTAAGGGCAATTTTAAAAGTAGGACTGTGATTAAACATTCAGACTTTAGACTTCCGTGATGGACTCAGACCACAGGCCTCGAAAACCAGCCACTGTTTTCTCCTCCCAATGTTAGAAAGAAGGGAAGGGAGAAGATCAGTGTACCAGGATGAGGGGGTAAATTAAGTGTCAAAGGGAAGCTGCTGGGTTCCTTAATCTCACTGAAGTCAAGTCTTCTGACTGGGCTTCTTTCCATGTGTATCTGAAAGTACTAAAGTACCTTGAAAGGTTACACATTCAGCAAACCATGAAAATAATAGCTATTCTTTATTAAACACTGTGTGCCAAGCACTAGGCCATGCAATTTTTAGATATGTTACTTCCAATCTGTACAACATTTCTACATTTTATGGATGGGAAACAGAGGCATAAGAAGTGTGGCTGAGTTGTTCATGAATGTAGAAATAGTAAATGGCAGAGTGGGAATGTGAAACTGCCTATCTCTGACCTAAATAGGCCTGCCTGTAATTTTTCCACTCCACCACACTGCACGTGGGTTTCCCAAAACCACCTTCCCAGATTCCTGAGTCTCAGTAATTTTATTATGGACAACATGCATGAGTAGTCATCATATATTTCAAGTGAAATATCGGGACATGATATAACACAAGACTTAACAGCAGTACTGAATATTTGAAATCAGTCCTCTCCTGGAAAATCATGCATGAAGGATTGTTATAAACAAACAATAGCAACCAGTTGTCTCCCCGAACTTCTCACTTTTCTCCTAAATGTCTGGCCTGAAGCTCCAAAATCATCCAATTACTTAGTGGCATTTTAGCCTGAGTACACTTCCTCAGTTCCTCCACTCTTTGTATGCCTTTCCACCAATATAGACATTCTAGAACCTGCCTCAGATGCATTTGAAATGTTCACCCCCATGGAACTAGTTATTAATGTCAGAGCCCACTCTTGCCGTTGTTAATGGGGTGGCGATCAAACATTCAGATGATGATCAAGGAGACATCATGGATAATTCTTTTTCTGATTCCTCGCTTAACAGCAGCTCCGCGTCAGAATGTTTTAAATAGTCTTATAAATAATTTGTTTATAGTATTGTTGTTAGTTTAATTGAATTTTATGTAAGAAGCTGTCCAACATCAGAGAAATGAAATTCCTCCCGCTTTTCTGTGTAGGACAAGGTCTCTGACAGTATTGATTCATGGAAGTACTAATGGACTTAGAAAACATTAAGAGAATGTCATTTCTCGTAGCATTTCTGTTTCTGAAAATGAATCTCCTGAATTATGATCTTTCTCCCTGTTACTTGGCTGGGGAAAGAGATAAAAGCTGTATAAACAAATTCTCTTCCAAGCTGAAAGCAAGTGTTCCGTGTGCACAACCTGCTGCAGACTGGGGCTCTTCTCAGTTAATTGGGTTTCACAAGCAATAATTTCTCCACAACAAAAACCACAACTTGAAGTGAGTTGAAAAGAGGTGAATAGTGGAAACAGTCACCTCAGTACTTTTCTTTCTGGATTTCATCTCTAGAAATTTGAAGTGTTTGAGACAAGCGTCCACCCTTTGTGCAAGGCAAGACCCAGTGAATGACTCCCTGTGTGAATTATTGCATCTTGTTCCAAAGCAGGTTCACCAAGACTTTCACAGAGATTCATTTTTGTTGAGAAATAAGGGTCAGTAGGAGGATAGAATTTGGATCCAAATCTAGTGATAAAAGTGTCCAAGCAATCAAAAAGTAAGGTATTTTGGGGACATACCAACATCTTCCCTTTCTGCTAATTTCATGCTCCAAAGATATGGCAAAAAGAAAATCATAGAAAATGCTTTTGCCCTACTTGTGTTCTAGTTTTCCCATGGCAGAATTTTGTAATTACATCCAGACTGTAGTGTATATTTTGTTCCTCAAACTTTATCACATTGGATGGATATTGTTGAACTGGGGCACTGGTGCCTATATTCAAGGCTCTTTCCTATCAACGTGTCTGTCCACAATTTGTTGTGTTTCAAACTTCATTTTGAAAACTCACCGTCCCCCCAAGGGATAGTGACTGTATTGTTTTGTTCATGTCTGTGTGGGACACATTGCATCACATGGCAAACCAACTCTCTGTGGATGTGAGATAAGTACTTATAAAACCAGCTTGAAAACATCGTCTTATGTATTATGTCATCCTGCATAATAATGCAATTATGTGTATCATAACATGCTCATTTAAAAAAAGAGAAACCAGCAAATTCATGTTTGTCCATAGAAGAATGTACTCAGAACTTTGTGTTGTGAAACGATGAGAACAGACCACCTTGAAGATACCCACCTGCCACTTAAAATGAGTTAGTTATAATTAGTAGTAGTCTAGACGTTCTTGGTGTGTGGGGGTCAATTCTAACGTCATGTTCTTTTGAATAAATCTCTCAGTCATATTTGAAAAAAATACATGAAAATAAAGAAAAATATCATCTTTGGCCAAATCAAGCAGGCATCTTTTTTCTTCTCCTTGACGTTTAACTCATGATACATGGTGATTAGATCACAAGAGCTTTCCGTGTAAAAAATACGAAAACATCTTTACTTTACAAAACAGTTATTCTAGGCTTGAAGCCTCTGAACAGCAAATTGAATAGATGGGCTGTATCTGATTTGCTTTATGGATGTAATTTTACAAAAGACTCTTGGGTCTCTGACCCCAGAGAGTTAAGAGTGCCCAGAGGAGGTCCTACACATTAAAGGATAAAGCCCCCCTGTGATACTGGCAAGCAAATGTGTTGAGTTCTTAAATCTTCATTTGGTTTTCTGTTCAGGATTTTAATTGCAAATGAATTTATTTCTCCAGTTTATCTAAAGATCTAATTTCCCAATAGTTTCCTCTGCATTTATATACTCTGTAGTGTTTAGGCAACCCCTGTTATAAGTTTATTAATATTATGTAAGTGTTGTTCTTGTATTTATGTATAGTGTATGTATTGTAAATATACTCAGAGCTTTTTTTCCTTTTACTGTAAAATGGTGATTTTTTTTGCCCTATGATTATGTAAAGGGAGACCCTCCTAATGAGATTCTCTCAGAGGATGATTATTCCAGTCTATTCTCAGAGATTTAAATGAACAAGTGTTATTGTTTTTAATGGTGTCTCAGACATATTCTGTTGGTGCATTGCTTTTCTGTATTCAACTTTCCTATGAATTGAGCTGTGAACTGAAATAGAGTTTAAACCTTTAACTGTATGCATTTGTATAATTATCTGAATGAAGGCATGAAGGTTAAATAAAGCATTTTGTATGGAACAAAACTCCCTAACTGACTCAGACACTTTGGAAATCATAGTTATTAACCATTCTCATTAAACCTTTGTTATGAAAAGTTTTACCATTTGTGTATAGTAATTTAAAACACAGAACAAAATAGAGTCTATTCTAAAAAAAAAAAAAAAAAAAGCAACATTTTTATTTCCTAACAGCCAGCACAGCACCTAAGGAGGGATTGCAAACTTAATATTTTAATGAATATAAAACTAAAAAGTAGTTCGGAAATGTAAAGTGATATGAAAAATGCATCTTTCAGAGCCCAGAATTGAATCCTTAGGATTATAATTTCTTCACACTTTACATATCCTTTACATATAGAATGATTCATCTAGCACGTGCTGCAGTTAGCTAATTTCTGTCGATTTTTTAAGAAAACCGGGTTATAAAGGCTTTTGAAAATACCATTGAGTAAAATATGTTTAAATAATTGTTCAAATAATCACTTGAAAATCTGTTTAAGTATCTTACTAGTGTCTTTTAATCAGAGAACTAGAAAAATCCATTCTACAAAAGGAATGGTATTAAATACTATTAATATAGAATGGTGATAGGTGATAGATAATAATTTTTAAAATAATATTTGAGTGTTTCCCAGATGCAAGGTAATGTTTTAAGCATTATGTTTGTTTCCTTTATTCATTACAAAAATCCTGAGTTCTGTTTTTATTAACCTAATTTTACCAATGAAAAGGTGAGGCACTGAGGGTTGGTGACTTTCCCAGTCAGTCTGGTTCCAGGTTCGGTGTCCTTAGTCACTAAAGGGGTATGAGTTACAGAGATGGAGAAACGATGGGAGGTGGGGAGCAGAGATTGAGGTGGAAGAGAGACCAGCAATGACTATCATAAAACATTCAACAAAAGCTTTGATTATGTATGTATCAATATAAATATACCCAAAAGAATATTATCCTTCATTTCATACTCAACAAACCAGAACGTAGTTTAATAACTCGTACAAATCAGAGACGAAAATTGATTTTGGCTCACTTTATGACTGACTCGAACCCATTTCCAAATAAACACTAAGTTCTGTGAAGTTGTTCTGCTGTATTCAGGGGAACTGGAGAGAGCCATGGGGGCCGCCAGTCCCACTCCATAACCACTGAAGCCTCCTCTCTTCCCCTCAGTTGGGAGGCTCAGTGTACCCTTGTGTTCACGCTCCCCAATCTGGCCCTGCTTTGAGCGCTAGGAAACGGTCTTGCAGAAATCATTTCCTCTCCCAGTGACAGCCTCACCACCTGGTGAGTTCAACACCAACCTTACAGAAGAAATCACTCGCTAGAAGATTATAAGGCTCTTTGAAAATTGAGGCCATACGCTATTAAGTACATGTTTACTAATTTTTTTGTAAAGATTTTAGTTGTGCCATTTTAGAAATATTCAGTTAAGGAAAGGACCAATAAAAAAGTTTATCTTGCTCTACTCTTGTGAAGCGTACTAAGACTTGCAAGGCTAAAATGAATCCATTCAATTACTTCATTTTGGATATGACTTTGTAACCAAATGGTAAATTGGACATTAGATTTATATGTCTTTGGCCTGATTTTCTGACTGTTCTTTGTTGGCCACACAAGCAGCCAAAGCAGCTCTCCAGCTTTGCTTTTTATTTGTTTTTCAGCTCACCCCAGGAGTCTCTGTTGTACAAATAAGAGCCTCCAATGAGACAAATTTCATGGACTAGATCACATGATGTTATTTTTCTCTCAGGGCAATTTATGTGTCCATATTTCTTCTATCAGGGTGATTCTTGGATACTTCAATGATAGCTGGAATTACACAGGTGATAGATAATTCAGTAACATTCTCAGGTTTCACTTTTACTCTAGCTGTTTTGCCATAGCCACGATTTCTAATCTAATGGCTTCATTGTTTCTTATTCTCTCCAATTTGAAGACTACAAAAAAACCACATGAAATAGTTGAAAGTACAGGAGCAGCGATGTACTTCAGCTTAGAATACCTTGGGGCTTTATCAGAAGAGAAAAAAATATTTCAGTGCTAGGACAAAATCATTCTCCCTAAAAAATTATTTTAGTCCCAAATGGCCATGGAGAGTTTTCATACTATATAGTGCATTGTCTTCCCCCGAAGCGCGTGGTTTCCTTCAACACAATGAGCTCCTTGTGCTTAGTTCGTGTGCTGTCTGGATTTAATATATTTCTCTCCCAACAGTGTAATAACTGTAATTTACATCACTTCCTGTTTAGTCTAAATTCACCAATGAACGCCTACACAGCTCATACACTTGAATAATTGTCTATTTCTGAAATAAATTGCATTTTCCTTGAACAGGAACAACTTTTACATGATCTTTTTTCTTTTATAGATCCACCATGTTGAGTGTGTTTGTGTGTGTGTGTGTACATGTACAAAAGAGAGAAACCCAGTTTTATGAGGCCATGTTGACATCAGCAATATTTGCTGAAAACATTTACTCAGGAGAGCCCCAGAATTGTTTAAATAGGCCTATAGTCATCAGAATCGCCCCCTTTTCTCTTATTGTAGCTGCAGTTCACATGCACAGATTGTAATCCATTGTCTTGAAGAGGATTGCAAGGCACAGAAGGTCTGTGCCATGAGCTGCTGTTCTATCCCAGTCCCTCAGAGCTTTCAGTCTGTACCAAAGACCCAAGCTTGTCCCAACATCTCAAGGGCAGGCTTGACGCTGCCTCTGGCTGCTATGCCCTCTTGAACTTGGCCATTACCTGGTCATGAGGTAGACGTGGCCGAGGAGTGTTAAACATTATTGATCATCCCCAGGGTCCTGAAAGCTTACGTCAGTGTGGCCGGTGCATTCTGTTGCTGAATTAGGGCCTGTGTACCTTCCTTCACCCTTCGTGGCTGATTTAGAGCCATTTCTTTGTACTGTGTTCAGCATGAATGAATCCAGTCATTTGAGCACTGATATGGACTCTTTTGTGTTATGTGTACCAATATTCTGCATTATACAAGTGAGTATTCAAATTATATTTGATATATCTAAAACATGGAAGAAATGGTTAAGAAATTACTTGAAGTCTGTGTATTCTATTCAACCACTCAAATCTATGTTCTTATGATTACTGATAACAATTTTTATATACATAAAATAAGGAAGAGCACGTTTGAGTTATTACTCTGTGAAAAGGTTATACTAATTGATGTGAGGCATAAAGTTTTGTATCTAAGACATAGTCCCTCATCTAAAGTAAGTTATTATATCCTATTAGGGTAGATCAATATATACGCAATTTCCCTAGTATAAACGATAAATGGATAAGCACCACCAGAACTGGCTAAAGCATAATGGAAGTTTAAGGGTAGCGAGAATAGCTCTGTAACACAGGTAATCAACCAGCCCCTGTGTCCCCTGAGATACACATTGTATGTAGATAATGTTCCCATAAGCAACAACATTGTCCACTTTGATCTGGAGAAACAGCAGAATATGCCGTGAAAAAAGAATGAATGGATGAACCGCATTTGGAAGATGTCAAATCCCTGTCCTCTGTGTTGCAGCAATTGTCAAACAAACAAATATAGACAATAGTCTGTATTTGAACAAATCCACATTCCTGTCGCTTATGCCTCAGCATATGTGGTTCCCCTGCCTTGAACATCCTTTTCTGTGTGTCTACCTGGTGAATTCCAAATTAAACTTTACCTTCCCTCCCTGAATCCATTGTCCATCTAGATAAGAAGTGGTCAGTATTTCCTCTTGGCCCTTAAACACACCTAAATATTGCCCTTGTAATGTGGTAAGTAGTTATTTGCTGGATTGTGAGCTGTTTGAAAGTAGAAATTGTGCCTTATTCATCTTTGAATCCACAGATCCTAGCATGTATTAAGCATTCAAAAAAATGTGATAGTTACATAAATGATCCAAATAATAGATAAGATTTAATAAGGACTCTGTAATCTGAAAGTACAGAGATTACAGAAATCTAAAAGCTAAATTCTGGCCCAGTGTGCTGGCCCATGCCTGTAATCCCAGCACTTTGGGAGGCCAAGGCAGGAGAATTGCTTGAGCCCGGTAGTTCAAGACCAGTCTGGGCAATATGTTGGGACCCCCATCTCTTCAAAAACTAAAAAGAAAATTAGCTAGGCTTGGTGTTGCAGGCCCATAGTCCCAGCTATTCAAGGGGCTCAGGTGAAAAGATCATTTGAGACCAGCAGTTCAACGCTTCACTCCGGCCTGGACCACAAAGCAAGACCCTGTCTCTAAATAAAATAAAACAACATAAAGCTAAATTCTGGAATTTGGACTTTATTATTTATGCAATATGAAGTTGGTGATATTTTTATTTCTAAAAATGAATGTTTTAGTAATTTTGTTAAAAATTAGGTTATATTTTAGAGGCACCCACACAAACATATTTTCTTGAGCCTAATAATTGATAATAATTAATATATTCACATGTCAAAATTATTATCAGTGGGAGGCTTATTATCAAACTGGAAACTTTCCCTGGAATTTCCCTGTCTATACGCTTTATGATTAAGTGTAAAAGTCCTTTATTTTATCCAAAAGTTTCTGATCTAACTTTCTGCCAGTGACCACACTGATTATCACCAGATTACTGTCTCATTATTTCAATCCACAAAGTCTTATGCCAATTAGAGAAAAAATACATTTCATTTATTTGACACTTTTGCATCTTTCAGAAGAAAATCCTTAGGACAAATTTACATTAGGAAAGTGCTGAACAGTTACTGTACCTCACATGTAGGTCGCTATTTATAAATGGCTTTCCTTTGATTATTTGATTATGGGTTGGATTTTAGAAACGTACGATAAAGAATTGTGAAACTTGGAATGGCAGCTGGTGTACAGAATTCACTGCAATCAGAAAAAAATTGTTTTCTTCAAGTAAAAAAAAAAAAAATGTTGCCTATCACTCTTGCTGAGTAGGTAGAACTGTCCTAGTCAGAAATGTTTTTCTGAAGTCATAGCATTCACATGGATTAGTAACTTGTCCCTGTGACAGCACTAGAAGAACAAGAAGGAATGGCCTTATGCAATCCTTCCTCATAGCTAGGGCAAGTGCGAACAGGCCACCTCCACACACCATTCATT